TCTATTCGCTCCTCATCGTCTTCGTCGGTTTCCGCAAGTTAAGCCGTCTCGAAGCCTACCTTGCGGAAACAATTGACCACTGTGTTCGTCTTCACGTCTCGCTAGACATTGAAGATCTCCACCGAAGAATACTTCGCAGAGATTTCTGGCCACTTTTTCGTCATCCACAGCTGGATGTTCTGGCTGCTGACAGCTTCGCTTTCGCCAGAATTGGTTTTGCCAACGATGTAGTAGCACTGCTTAAATCAGTGAAGCCACCTGGCGTTTCCAGCAAAGTTGTTTCACCAGGTGTAGAGGCAAACCATTTGGCCTTGGCAATCAGCATAAGGCTATCCATCGGAATGTTCTTAGCGCGAACTTTTAAAAACCAGGCATAGAGTGCCTTTTCTACATTCCCGTGGGCAGAAACGCGCACATGACAGGCTCCAGACGTTCGCTGCTCCGCCACCTTTGCCTTTATATCTGCTTTGTTCTTCAACAAGGTACTCAGAGTGCTCCCGTGGTATCCCCAAGTCGTACGCGACGGTCGAACATTTCTCGCCCGCCTCAACACGCTGGCCATAGCTACACAAGAAATCGACAATTCGAGGAGTCCGCAGTGGCTTTGCACACCTCGCACGCGAAAGAGAAACGCTGCACTTGTGATGATACGTAGACGACGCGGCAACAGAAGCAAAGCGCTCGCGAGGCGATGGCCACCTGCGAAGGCAACAGCAAAAGGAGCGAGCTGTGATTGGCTGATCAAACCTTGGAAAACAATAAAAAATTAAGCAATAAACAATAAAAGAAAAGGCAAAAGGTGGAGGACACCGGCTCCTTTGTTCCTGCTCTCCGAGCTGATGGGTAGTCGGAGCAAGCATGAGAAAGAGAAACGAAAAAAAGAAAAAAGGTGTTCTGCAAGTTAGAGATTGCACAGACAAAGCCCTCTCACCCTTACCTTTTTTTCGAGTGTTTAGGGTTTGGCGGAGGCATGGTGCAGCGCGAAGGTCGCCGGGCGTGCGAGTTCCAAAGCGCGCCTTCCAACTCACGCGGCGTTCGATATATGCAAAGGCAAGTAGAAATACGGTTCGATATAAACGTGCAAATTTTTATACTTTTACAAAGGAATTTGAAGGGATAACTTGCAAGTTGAATATACCTGAAAATTCGACATGTGCGAGTTCGGTATAACCGTGTTCGACTGCATGAGATTTGTAATGATGTCAGCTCTCCTCAGTAAAAAACGCGCTCCTATATTGGTGAGTCTCTTTCTCACTGCACATTCTCAACGTCCCCAGAAAACTGTCACTCAGGCGGATGAGATTGCCGTACTCGTGCGACCACTGCTGGCAAATGCTTTCAAAATACAAATTCCATGCTTCATCTTGCATTTTGTGTGCCAGTAATACAGCCAAGAAATCGCCTTGCAATGCTTAACCTATATATTACTTGCTCATCTTTGATCCTGCTTAGCTAAACCATGCTCTTCTTTGCCTAGCTTTGCACTTTGCATTACAGTGCTGAGGCTTTCCCTCAACTTCACTTGTTATTGGGGTTGGTGATAATAGAGCCACCTCAAAGATTTTTTTCTCATTATTCTGAAACATTCAAAAATACATGACTATCTGGTGCTTGCTGCGTTAAAGAACTCTACAAACATTAATATACCAATCCTCACACTCTTTGCCTTTCTAACATAACTAGAACTTGGCTGAAAAAAAAAAAAAAAACAAGACCTCTCTGTTTTTTTAACACCAAAGTTTTTCATGCCAGTGTTCACCATGGCTCCGCTAACGTACGTTCGTCAAATAAGCGACGCTAAAAAGTATATGCTAATAGATTGCAAAGAAAAAAACAAAAAACAGAAGGTGAACATCTCTCGCGTGAAATCAAACCAGCAACCTCTCGTTTCTCAGCGAGCGGCGCCAACCACTTCGCCACAAAAGGTACTTTTTCATATCGTGATATTCTATTAAAAGAAAAGCGGTGCACAAAAAGATCGGAGGTTCCAGAATCCGACTGTCTACAATTTCTCGATCTTAAACTTCGGTTTCAGAGTTCCCATATTTGCTGGTGTTTTGAGCCACGATCAGTGAAACCAATTCTTAATTTTGGATCAGCCCACTCAAAGGTGGTAAAGAGGGGCATCGCTTTCACCTGCCTTAAATACGCTCTAGAAAAATCGTGCAGGCATGTGTTGGGCTCGGGTTTTTCTAAGCAAGTTGCAAGACTAGAGGAAGCAGGATTCCCCCCTAACATAATTGTGGCTGTTTGCGATAAGTTAATTGGTGGTTGAAAAGGACGTGCAGCTAGGAAAATCAATCGGGAAAAAATGAAGTTCGCAGCAATTCCTTATATGCATAAACTGGCACATGGGTTAAAAAATGTTGGTTCCCGCTACGGAGTTGATGTGGTTTTTAGGGCACCCAATAAATTGGGAAAGATATGTGCATTGGCGTCAAATCAGCTAGACAAGAAGGACAAGCCAGATGTTAAGAAATGTGCCGTAAACCATAGAAATAAGTATGTGCCTTGTGCTGTGGGGGTGGTGTACAGCATTCCTTTATCTTGTGGCCGTCATTATGTGGGACAGACGGGCCGCTGTGTCAATAAAAGGTTGCGGGAGCACTATCTCTCTTTGCATAACGGCACGCCTTCCCATTTGGCTTCGCATTGTGCCACGTGTGGGTGCACACCTGATCTGTCTAACACTGTTATTATTTTTAAGCACCACGATCAATTCACCCGTGAGGTGTCTGAAGCCTATCATATTAACAAGTCACGTAATGCTTGCGTAAGCCAGACCTCGGTTACATTGCACAAAAAAGAGTTCACTTTTATTGATGAGCACATCATTTAATCTCGTTGTACCTCACTTGTCATGCGCGGCTATTACTTTTTAAATTCTTGTTGCTCGGATTAAACATTCAGTTGTGAGTGCAGCGCTGTGTGTGGTTCTCTTCTTTGTCTCCGTCTTTTTGTGCGCCGCTTTTCTTTTAATATGAATATACACCAACTCGCCCAACTTTCTATTCTGTTACGTGATAGTCTAATACAATTCCTATACAGTTATCATTTCAATATTATGCTCACGTGCACACATGTGCAAGACGAAATTTCATACAGTCCAATGAATCGTCAAAAGTCTGGTAAACAAACGCGCATGTCCAGAAGTCAAAGCGTACGTTGTCTGGAATGCTAACAGCAAGCCATTTATACACATCATACACCGTTTAGCAGTCATCAGAGCTTCGAAACTTTAGCCCACTTTTGTTATCAGTGACGAGACGGCGCGACAGGCTCACGTCGGACGTGCTCTAAAGGTTTTCCCCTCCACGAAGCGCCGCCTTCCCCCTAAACCGTGGTCTCTCTCTCTCTCTCGCATGCGCTTATCAGACCTGTAATTTGAGAGAGCACAAAAGTCGCTTCACACGCCACCACGGACGCATTTATTACAAAAGACGCCCGCTACTACTGACGCTAATCCTGTATATACTTGCGCACTTGTTCAGCACGTCTTTCATTCTGTTTGAACAGTGCACTTTAAGTGCTGATCTGTGACAGTTGTTAGTCTGCGCTCGTCTTGTGTATGCTTATTTCATTTGTGCTTTCTGCTTGAGGTGTGCGCTGCAAGTTTCGAGCTGCTTGCCGTTGTTAATGCTACTCTTCAATTTGTTGCTACTGCTGAAACAATGCACAATAAACGCTCAACTACCTTTGTAAAGACATGTTTCACTTTCATGTTATACAGACTCTTATATAGAAGAATCAAGCACTTTGTTTTTGTTACACACAGTATTAATGAGAACTAGCAGATCTGGCTGGTAATTTTAAATGTGCCATACCCCAATGGTGAACAAAATAATGACTGTAAATGCAACAGCTTACAACTTGGAAAAAGGGCAGGGTAATTATGACAGGGCATCACTCATCAAAATCTTCGACCATAGGACACTGCCCCCCCCCCCCCTTTTTTTTCCCCAGGAAAATTCATTCAAAACTTCCTGAGAAAGTATACGTGATGTTAAACCAAAATGACCTACCAATGTTATTCTGCCTGTCTACATGTGCCATCATTTTTTCCTGTTATTTACGTGCACTACAAGGAAGCTTACTCAAGATGAGCTACCAACAAGCCCGCATCGCATCTCTCGTGAACTTTATTCTTATACCTATGTTACACAGGCAAGCTAAGCGTGGTTACGACCAACCACAGTTAACCACGTTAAGCTGCGGTTAGCACCAACCACGGTTTGCCGATGTTACGCAGCTACTATAGAGCTGGAAACGCACACTGCGTTTCTCCCAATAGAAAAACGCCACGCGCGCTCGTGGCTTGCACTCATTGGGGGTGGGCGCCGCCATTTTCTCCGTTATCTGCCTAACTGCGATTCCCAAGCTCGGTTTCTTGAAAACGCGGTTAGCGGCATAACCGCGGTTTTGTGTGCTGTGTAACATCAGCGAACCACGTTTGGCGTAACTGCCTAATAGGCTGCCTGTGTAACAAGGACATTAATAACCTAGAAAGAGCTAGCCTTGACCAGAGCCTCTCGTTATGGTAGCCACCACGTAATTTGGAGACGGCACAACAATGAAAGACAACGTTTAGTCTGATTACAAGTGCATGAAACGTTTCTGGCATTTCAGAGAATAAGACTAGCAAAAATTAGGCGTTCGTTCCACAGGCCTTAATTGTCCTATAAACTGTGTAGGGGAACATTATTATTTTGATCTTCCTAGTGATTCCCATATGTAATGACCATGCACATTAGGTAAGTAAAGATGTATTCTATAAGAGGAATTCTGACCATTTCTTTTTTTTCTCATAGCACCAATTGGACACATACTGTTTTTCTTGGTAAAAGACAGCTGTGCATTCAATTTCTAGGTAGCCTGGCCACTCCAGTGGGGTGTTCATTTTCTACATTGAATCGGCAAAACCTTGGTGGAGTTGATAGGGAACTTATCAGGATGGCATGGAAAATCACTGGTCATTTTTCTCCGTTACAACAGACACGCACCTAAGTGGAGCTACATTGCCATCCATGCTGAAGACTCCATCAGTGGCGATGAGCCGCTGGCGACTTTTCCCAACAGCGTCCCTGCAGCTTCTCCTCCAGGTCTGAGACAAACAAAAAGATTGAGTGATAACACAGGATGCACAGGGAATGCTGTTATGCATACCATTCATGTCTCGATGCTTGTAGCGGTACTTCTGCGCCTTGCAGAGACGGATTCCATCAATAATGGAAGCATGGTTGAGCTCATCCGACAGCACTGCGTCCTCAGGGCTCAGGAGAACCTCAAAGATGCCCGCATTGGCATCAAAGCAGCTAGCGTACAGAATGGCATCCTCCCGGTTGTGGAAGCGTGCAATCTTTTGCTCCAGTTCCTTGTGAATGTCCTGCAGTGGAGAGCTCATTTACCGACATACTGGTGGGCTCCACCTATGTTCCTCGTCAAAATAAGTGCCATCATGGCTCTCAACGTTGAACATAGTAGACTTTCCCCTCAGTCATGTCGTGACAATTCTGTAGTGGCCCGGAAAAAAAATTTCATTTACCTTTGCTCAACAACTATGACTCCCCTAAACTACGTCTTTTGTGCTTGTTAATTTTCTCGTATTTAATTACGCCTCAGTTAGAGATGTACTTTGGGTAACTGACTGGATTCCAAGAAAAAGCAAGCACGTGAGAGGAAGACAGAAAATTGGGTGGGCAGAAGGAATTAAGAGGCTTGAAAGTATAACGTGGCAGCAAGAAGCACAGGACCGGGTTCATAGGTGGTAGATAGGAGAGGCCTTTGTCAGGCTGACGATGATGGCGCTCGTCCTGTGCACTACTTCCACTAGTCAGTTGTGCAATTCCTCACCATTTTATAGCCTTACCAACTAGCCCCCCAACACATTTACTGATTATGATGAATTATGTGATGTAAGCAACGAGAGTACATTGTCGTAAGCACCCCCATTCAGCGTATCCACAGCCATTATTACAAACAATAATTCTAGGTGGAGGCATAATATACAAGCTTCTTTTCATTGGTTATAACCCACACACTTGACCAATCAATTTGTTGGCCGGTGAATTCCATCTGTGCAGCGAAGGCATTCGAAACCATGCGCCGTTTCTTGATGTCAAGTTCATGTTGTTTTATTCTTTTACTGAAGTCAACCTGTCTCACGAAAGCACTTGTTGCAATCATGGAAGCTTAAGGCATACACAAAACCGGGGAAATTTTTTTCTATACAACTTGTTCTTGATGTTGACTAAAGCAATTTTTTCTTAGCTTCTGTGTTCATACACGCGCTATTCCATCTTCATACCTGCACATGACGCGGGTGATGATCTCACCTGTCCTGGGTACCTACTACAAGATGGCCACTGGTTCACCAGTCTGCCTACAGAGTAGTGATAGCTGTCTCTGCTGCAGAGATATAGAAAAGCAGGAAGTATCGACACACCGCATGTTTTGATGTTGCTGTATCCTTTTTGAAAAGTCTTATGTCTCACTGATGTAAGAGGCATGACAATCAGTGCATGGAACTTAGTAAACCAGCTCAGGGAATAATTTTGGCAGCCAGTGCTTTGGTCGCATCAAGAGTCGAACAATTGTTGATGCAGGTTTGTGCGGCACCTGGATACCCTCCTACCCCAACACCCCGGCCAGTTGCTGGTTGATTCCCGGAATGTATGAAACCGTGACACAGTAGGAGTGTTTGGGGGAGGCTTCATTATTAGTGCTACCCTTTCAAAAGAGGGCAAGCGAGGAAATTTTTTCGTCTGTCAAGTCACTGGCATACTTGCTGAATAAAGTTTTCAATGTACCCATTCTTCAGGAGGTCAGTGATCGTTTCTTCTTTTCTTCACTTTTATTTGCAGCGGCAGATGGCCCCTGTATAGTTCATCAGCATATTTACGACTGATGCCTTGTGAGCAGTCAGGTGGTTGGAATTGAACTGCATATATCATCCGGGGTGTGTACGTTTTTGGTATACCGAGAAGCTCAAATGTCCTTCCACCCCCGCTTTTTCCCATCTCACTAACATATCGAAAAAAGGAAGAACAATGTTCTTTTAACATTCCACGGTGAATTTATTCGCTAGCTCGATTGAATGTAAGTGTGCTAGGAAAACTGTCAATGTTAGACTCCATGATCTCGCAAAAGAAGTCATTCAAACACCTCAAAAACATTTTAGGTGGTTCGATGAACGAGTCAATGGCTCATTTTTCGACTTGCTCCATCGTCAAGTTTGCTCCTGTGGCTAGAATAGCGGCTCCTATCGCAGTTCCACTAGCCTGTTTGTAGAATTCACCTCTGAAAGAATGAGGGCGTAAGAGGGCATCTAATTGCAACCGCACATATACAGTACAGAACTACTGATCCCGACCACATTCCAGCTGTCCACGAGGACTGTTTCGGGAGAAGGTGCTGCTGCTGACGTGGATGGCGCGGAGCAGTGGCAAAATGGTCAGCTGAAGAACATCTTGGAAGACTACGCACCTAATGACATCTTTAATATGGATGAATCGGCGCTATTCTTTAAGCTGCTACCAGACAAAACGCTCGCGTTTAAAGGCGAGACGTGCACCGACGGCAAGCATTCAAAAGACAGAATATCAGTGGGGTTTTGCGTAAACATGACTGGAACCGACAGAACTCCGCTCCTCGTGATTGGAAAGTCGGCGAAGCCTAGATGTTTCAAAAGCGCCCGGTTGCCATCAGGGGTCATCTATCGCAGCAACACCAAAGCATGGATGACGGCAAAACTCTTTGAGGAGTATGTGCACCTCATCGATCGTCGTTTTGCGGCTAAGAACAGAAGAGTTGTTATTATTTTAGACAACGCTTCGGCGCATGTCGCCCTGGACAACCTGACGGCTGTAAAGTTGGAGTTTCTGCCACCAAACAGAACAGCGATTGCCCAGCCCTTGGACCAAAGCATCATTCGAGCTGTAAAACAGCTCTACAAGAAGAATCTGCTGCGCATATTTCTTCTCGCCATTGAATGTGGCAAATTATTCTCCATCGACCTGATTGGCGCGATTCACCTGCTCGAATACTCGTGGCAGCAGGTTGAAGCAACGACAGTTCAAAATTGCTTCAAGCGTGCTGGCTTCAGTGTGTGTGCGGGCGACGCAGATGACGCCAGTGACACCATCGACCAGACTTCAAACATCGTAGACGAAGCTTGCAAAACTCTGCTAGCTGAAGTGCTGGAGCGGCAGGGCGTTACGGAAGGCATTTCCTTCCCCGACTTCAGAGATGCGGACAGCGATGTGCAGACATCTCCGGACATGTCCGACGAAGCCATTGTTGCCTCGGTTGCCGAGGTGTCACCAAATGATAGTGATGAGGACGACATGGAAAGCGACAACACGGGTGATCCAGGTCCGACAGTGGCCGAAGCTGCGCATTGCGTCAGCGTCATGCGGGTATTTGCGAGGAAGAGGGGGCTGGCAGAAAAGCTGGCTCACAGCATAAGTTAGTTTGAGGCCGCTGTCGTTGCTGTTAGGCCGCCGCGTCGTCAAATGAAGATTACAGACTGTCACACAAGGTTAATAAATTACTGCACGTTTTTTGTTCTTTCATCGCACTCCCTGAAGGCTTCTTTTTTTGACAGGTAAGTGAGCGACCTGACGCTATTTCGGTTAAGCAGTCCTACCGTATAGTACATACTTTTTCCGAGCTCCGGCCAACTACGGTTTAACGAGGTTTCACTGTATAGGCTACACCAACTTCAAGATTCCTGGAACTGTGCACTACCACCAGCAGCGCCTATTGAACCCGTGTCACACACACCCCAGTTTGCCATCCAACTTCCAAATATTGATGTCATGAAGTTCAAGTGCCAACCTTCAATGTGGACGCCATCATGGGAACAGTTCAGTCAACTGATTCGCAACAACGATGGGCTCACCGATGTAGACCGCTTCGCCTGTCTACATTCAGTTTTGACTGGTGACGCGGCCTCAGATATCACTGGACTTCCAGCAACGGCAGGCTGCTATTCAGAAGCCCTGGACGTCTTAAAGCAACACTTTGCCACGACCCACGTCATAATTCAGGCTCACATGCAGCGACTAATCGACATGCAACCCATGCAGTCCTCCGCCGATCTTCGAGGACTGCGACGCCTTTACGACACCATTCAAACCCAGACGCATGCCCTCAAGACTCTCGGAGTGTCGGAGCACAGTTACTCCACAAAGTTTTACCCGATTTTGCTGGTCACTCCCTCACGACATCGTCCTCGACTTCAACAAGACCATCGCACGCCAAAGTACAGAGCACACAGGCCAGCAAGGAAAGCACAGCCAACACCAGAAGGCGAGTATTAAGTTTTTACTGCTTTTTGTTCAAACGGAAATCGAGGCTCGAAAACAAACAGCCCTGTACGTTTCTGCGAGAGAGGAGACGTCGTAAAGCCAAGCTAAAGATTTTCACCGTAGTGCAACGTCCTCTTCGTGACATCAATCAACCACGAAGTGTTTGACCTCATCCGTGAAACCAGCTCCTCAGAAGAACACCTGCTTTTTCTGTAACTCAACTACGCATCATACCAAGCAGTGGGACTTTCAAATGCCATTAGAAGAAAAGAAAAGATACCTACTAGCTTCCTGTCGCTGCTTCCACTGCACCTTGAAACATCATAAGGCAGAATATTAGGAGAAAGGTTCGAATGTGCAAGTGCTATCGACACCATGCGAATACAATGTGCGACCTGCAGATGATGAAATCCACTACCGATTCCCAGACGTTATCAAAATCGGTACCGGTACAATGCAAAATCATTGAAATGAAAAATTCGAAACCAAGCGTGTATCTCCAAACTGTTGTTGCTTGGGCAGCCGGCTAAGAACGCAAAGTGCTTGTTCGACTTTTATTAGACGAAAGAAGCCAGCGCAGCTTTATGACAAAGCGACTGGCAGAAAAATTGCGTTGCGGATCACTCGGTCACGAAAGTTTTTCAGTGGGCTGTTTAGGAGGACGTCATGACGAGAAGTCATTCTCACGCATGTTTCTCACCTTGAGTTCTGTGCGTGGCTGTAAGTCACAGCAGATAGAAGCTCTAGTCACGTCAAAGATAAGCCATCAATAAATCCCACGACCGACAAGAGACTTCATTGACAAGCTCGGACACCAAGGACTTTACTTCTCCGACATCAACAAAGCTGAGCTGTTGACATATTGATCGGCAGTGACTATTACTAGAATTTTGCCACTGGAATCATCGACAATTTAGAAAACAGACTAAAAGCAGTCGAGACTTCCTTAGGCTGGATGGACGCTACATGGACGAGCAACCTCTTGCGCTTTGGCAACGCACTGCAACGAGGTGATCGTAATGAAATCAGAAGTGATGGACCGTAAGATAACAAGAGAGAATTATGCGGACTTGGA